TTTTTTGCAAAAAATTCTGCAAAAATCTGCATTTTCGCAGGTTTTTGCAGATTTGCACTTATTTAATTCTCCCAATGATATAATTTCATTGATACAATGCCAAAAGTAAAGAAATCTGATTATTATAAAATATTAGGAGTAAAAAATACTGCAACTTTATCAGATATGAAACAAGCTTATCGAAAACTAGCACTTATTTATCATCCTGACCGAAATGTAAACAAATCAGAAAATGAACGTGTGGAAGCTGAAAAAAAATTTAAAGAAATAAAAGAAGTATATGATTATCTAACATCCAATTACAAAGAGAAAAAGCAAGAAAATTATTACCAAAGAAAAAAACAACATCTAAAAAAAGAAAACCTGATCAGAAACATGGAAAATCTCCTAAACAAACAACCTCATCAAAATCAAAAAATAAGAAAACATCTAATTCTAGAAAAAAAGAATCAGTTGAAACCAATAAAGAATTTAAAGAATTATTTACCAAAGCGATGATGAAAACATTATTTGAAATATTAAAATGATAGGCGCCAATAAATATTTTTATAAAAATGTAATGTTTGTTTATATTTTTTTATAGTAAAATGGAATTTTTTTTTAAGAATATTAAAAAAAAAAGATGATTTTAGAAGTTGGAAAGATGATATTGAATTGTCTTATTCGATTAATGATATTGAAAATTCTTTTGAATTTCTTTTACCATTAATCGAAAAAGAAAATCCAATTGCTCAAAAAGAAAATAATTATTTATTTTTTACAAATTTTAAACATTTTAGAGAATATTTAAACGAAAAAGAGATTAACAATCTTCGTTTAGAAAATATTTTCGTTTTTCTTGAAACATATATATATAATTATTTATATAATAATACAGAAAGTAACACAATTTATTTTGATTTCGATGTTTGGTTTAATGAATTAAATTTATATTATAAACTATATAAGGTTAAATATATATGGTCGATTTCAGATCTAGAAGATTATTACAAATATTTATTATATTAATTTATATTGTATTTATTTATGTTATTATTCTAAAAAATTAATATAAACAAATGTTATTTATTTTTTTTTTTACAAAAATTAAAAAAAATGAGGAAAAAACATACTATCAGAGAATATTTTCACAAAAATATTGAAAAAACAAAACTTATTTGCAATTTATGCAATAATTCATATAATAAAAATACAAGTATTTCAAATCTTAAAAAACACTTTGAAAAATACCATTCTAAAAATTATAAAATAATTTTTAAAGAAAATGTTGAAATTAACAGCCATCCAATTTTAAATTATTATACTTTAGAAAATAAAGATTTTATTTGTAAAATATGTTTGAAAGTGTATGATAAACCAATTTTAGATACAATGAAACAACATTTTAATCGAAAACATAAAGAAATTTGAAATCAAATTAAACAAGAATATAATGTTAATAGAAAATAACTGTATTTATTATTGTTTTTTTTATAATAAATTTAACTTTTGCAAAAAAATCCAAATCTTTTCAAGACAAGTATTTGAAAGTACTCAAATCTTTTTACGATATGAGTAACTTTTGCAAAAAAATCCAAATTTTTTCAAGACAAGTATGAGTAACTTTTGCAAAAAAATCCAAATCTTTTCAAGACAAGTATAAGTAACTTTTGCAAAGAAATCCAAATCTTTTTAAGGCAAGTATGAGTAACTTTTGTGAAAAAATCTAAATCTTTTCAAGACAAATATGAGTAACTTTTGCAAAAAAATCCAAATCTTTTCAAGACAAGTATTTGAAAGTACTCAAATCTTTTCACGATATGAGTAACTTTTGCGAAAAAATCCAAATCTTTTCAAGACAAGTATGAGTAACTTTTGCGAAAAATCCAAATCTTTTCAAGACAAGTATTTGAAAGTACTCAAATCTTTTCACAATATAAGTAACTTTTGCGAAAAAATCCAAATCTTTTCAAGACAAGTATTTGAAAAATACTAAAAACTTTTTATATAAAAAAATATTACATAAAAAAATAAACTCTTTGATAAAAATTTATATTTGTAAAATATTATAAAATAACTTTATTAAACCAATTAGTTAAATTTTAAAGTATATTTTCCAACAATATGAAAACTAATTTCATCTTGAATATTCAAATCAATAATACTATCTTTAGTATCTAAGCTAATAGTATTAATTTTTTGTTTTTTAACATTTTCTTTTTTTATAATTAATTTTCTTTTATCGTTTTGTATAAGTGGTAAATTTTGTCCACTTTCAATAATTTCTACTATTTTTTCTTCTGTTAAATAATCATCATCGTTAAAATTTTCAATTTGAACGGGTTTCAGATTATAAATATATTTTTGATTTTTTTCTTTTTCTTTTTGTTTACGTTGACTTTGATTAATTTCTTTAATTTCTTTTTTTCGTTTTTTATTTTTAGACATTGCTAAATTATATTCTTGTTTATGATGTTTAGCAAAATGATTTTTAAGGTTTGTTAGATTAGTGTCGATAGGATAATTTGTTTCATATTTTTCACAAATAATACATGTTTTGAGAACATTTTCACGAAAATATTTGTGAATTTCGTGGGTATTTCTCATCTTGTAAATAATTCAAATTAAATAAATAAAATAAATAATTAAAATTACATATTTAAATATTTTTTTTAAAACTTAATATTTTGGTATAAAGTACTCAATATAAAAAGAATTTCCGAGTAGAAATCCAAATAGGGTATAAAGTAACCAATATAAAAAGAATTTGAGAGTAGAAGTCCAAATAGAGTATAAAATAATAATATAAAAAAGAATTTCCAAGTAGAAATCCAAATAGAGTATAAAATAATAATATAAAAAGAATTTCTGAGTAGAAGTCCAAATAGGGTATAAAGTAATCAATATAAAAAGAATTTGAGAGTATACGTCTAAATAGAGTATAAAGTAACCAACATAAAAAGAATTTTATCCAAATAAGGTATAAAGTAATCAACATAAAAAGAATTTCCAAGTAGATATCCAAATAGGGTATAAAGTTATAGGCTAACTTTCTTCTGATTGGTCAATCACTTACAATTGAATTTATACAGTTTAAAGTACTTTTAAAAATA